ACACATCAAAATGGACAGCACAATCACCAAATTTAAACATTATAGACAATATTTGGTTACGTGTAAAAAGAGCATTAGAATCCCGTGTTCATGTCATACACTCGCTGCACGATATCTGATAACTAAAATTCGGACCTTGTGGGAAAACATTCCGATAAATTATATTAAAGACCTTTCTAACTCCATCCCAGGACGAGTAAAGGAAGTTATCATAATGAAAGGAAATCTTATTAAATATTGAGGTAAAATTTAATTTTATCAACCACAAACAGCGAAGTAACTTCGTTTAGCGGACGTGCGTTTTTGGCGGCCATTTTGAAAGTGGAGAATAATTATGTCCCTTGACTGTACATAATGTATTTACATCTGCTTCTTTTTCCAAAGGACAAGATAGGGTAAGACTCCTTTTTGGCCCCTGGTTTTGGGTGTCTTTTAGAATGAAGCAACAGTTTATCAATAAAAACCTGTTAGCACCCCTGCAACAAATTGGGTATTGGTTCTAAATTATGGGATAAACAAAGGTCACAGGAAGGTCAGAAAATATGTCAATTTCCGAATTTTCTCATTTTTATGCAAATTTTCATCGATTTTACAGCACATTTTGTTTCAGAAAATATAGAGCACAAGCTTGCCTATCTACGAAATTTATATATTTCATGCACTAGTATCAGATGCATCTTATGTATAAAAATCTCAGAAAGGCAAGCTTGTGCTCTATATTTTCTGAAGTGAAGAGTATATCAAAATTGGCAAAATTCCTCCAGAATTAAGGAAATTCGGTATATTGCCCCACTTCTGCATCCTCTTGTGGCCTCCGTATAAGCTTTGCATCAAAATTAGGGCTGGTTTTAAAACAAGCATTATTTTAAGTTCTTAACTACAAACTATCACGGTTTTAACCGTGTTCTGATTATTACATCAAATAAGGGACCAGATTCGCCCGTTACCATACCTTGACCTTTCTGTATGTGCTACAAGTTTAGATTAGGAAGCCATATTAGTATAACAAATCATTTCCTGTGTTGTACTCCTTAGAAATGAAGCCCTCTTGATATAGAAAGCATTACAGATCGTGTCTGTGCATATATGTTACAGATCGTGTCTATGCATATGTAGGTCGTATTAAAACTCAAGGGCAGGTCACCACAAAAATAATAACATAATTTGTAAGCATGGCATTTGAAAAACGTAAAATAGATTTTTATTGCGTACTACTGTAACTTTTTGATAAAAAGCGGAAGAGATATGCCACAAGTGGAAAGGTAGGCAGGTCTGTGAGTCAGGAATTAAACACAGTCAATAAGAAGTATGATGCTTCCTTTTACAAATAGTTGTTTGCATTTGATTTGATGTGATTGGTGACAGTATGAGACGAAACAGGTCTGCTAGAAATGTACTCTTTGCATGGGATACTCGATTTTGTTTGCAGTTGTTTACTGAACAGCGCAGTCGCTTTCTGAAGATGTATTTGTTTTATAAATCTTTCGCTTTTCTGATACATATTTCATAAAGGAAAAAAAGATTGACTCATGATAAAGTTAACTTTAAAAGGTATACATAGCAACAAAAAAATTTTTTTTAAATATAATTACTATTAAAACTTTTGAATTTCCCAACCAGAAAAAAAGGTTGTATTGAAGAACATCAAATCAGTGGATGGAAAAGTGATGATCTTTTATTTTAAATATCACACTAGCATATTGAATTTTTTTCAGTTAGAGGAGAGATAACATAGCTTCCACGGATAAAACTTACAATCAATGTAAATTAAATGATTCATGTTTAAATGATGGTGAAATTTAATTCATTACATTAATTTTTTTATCAATTCGTATGGATTTATATCATCAATCCTTCAGATATACGGGGCCAAGTATACTGATCTCGATTTATTTACTATAATAACATTACTATCATAAGATAACATGGTCTTTTCCATCAAGTCGAGAACATTATTGGTCTTTTCTGTGAAGTTGAATTAATTTTTTTAAAGGAAATAGATCTAAAGCCAAGTGAATTGTAACGCTGATATAATTACAAGCGGTACATTTGCTAAATAAACAGACTTGCCAATCGGGTTTTTCAAGAAAATGTATAAGTATTTTGGAAAAAAAAATAGGTCAAAGGTCATGTTCAAAGGTCACAAGGACAGTAACACTGTTACTTTATAAAAAGCAATACCCCAATGTCTCCCAAGTGTGTTTCCAAAGTGTTGCTCTGCTCGGCAGGGAACACAAAAAAAAATGACGGTTGCTTGAACAACTGTATCATATTTAATTACTAAACATATCTGTGGTATAAGAGGAGTTGCGGACGAGAGATTAGTACCACCAAATGTTATGGAAGGACTGAACCCCATCACTATATACCTCCAGCTTTTCAACCGGAAGGGAAAAAGATGAGTCTTTTCAAGACTAAAGGAGTTGTGAAGTTATATAACAAATGAATTTTACATACAGACCAAAGCATTACAGACAAATTGACCAAAGTGTTACAGAAAGACCAAAGAGTTGCAGACAGACCAAAGTGCTACAGACAGACAGACATACCGACAAAGTGTTACAGACAAAACGACCAAAGTGCTACAGTCAGGCAGACTAAGGTGTTACAGACAGACAGGCAGACAAAGTGTTACAAACAGACAGACAAAAGTGTTACGGAAAGGCAAACAAAAAAGGTGTTACAGACGGACAGAGAAACCAAAGTGTTACAGACAAAGAAACCAAAGTGTTATAGACAGACAAGAGTGTTACAGACAGACCATAGTGTTATAGACAGGAAGACAGACCAAAGTGTTTCAGACATGCAGACAAAGCAAAGAGTTACAGACAGGAAGAACGACCAAAATTTTGAAGACAGGTAGATAAAAGTATAGAAATAGGCAGAAAAACTTGAGTGTTGTAGACAGACCACAGACGGATGGACCGCAGCTACAGTAACATCTCCTGTTTTTATCAAAGTTGGTGACAAATCAGGAAGAAGCATGGAATACAGCACGAACAATATACTGATTTTTGCATGTTTTGTTTGTTGTTTAACGTCCATCTCGAGAATTATTTACTGACGCCACCACTTGCCTGTAAAGGGCTACAAATTTTGACCTATACTCAGCGCCATTGAGCAGTGAGGGATCTTTTTTGTGCCAGTACCTACTACGACACGGGACCTCGGTTTCGAAAGACCGGTCTCCACGTCCCACAGTGTGTAACACAATTGACGTTATGAAAACTATTATAATTGAATAATCAAGTATAAATTTAACATATTTTACAGGTGATGGTTTTTTATATTGCCCTGTATTTATTATTGTGTTTACAATGTATAGATATTTTATTTGTTGTTTATGATCAGGACGCGTGTAAACAGGGCATAATAATCCCTGTACGTCCAGTGCTTGAAACGTGACAGATCATTCGGCTTGTCATTAAATCTCACGACTGATGTCATAAAGTGATCATCGAACCCATGCGCTTGTCCTCTTCTACTAGTCATAATATCTATACTACGGCTCGTCCAATAGTACTGACATGACCAAGGGAGTGGACAATGCCCGGAGGGGAAGTCAAAAACTATTATTATACCTCTACTGATTTTTCACTATACATGAGTAAATTGATATATTTTGCTGATTTCCTGAAAATCACCGTAAAACGACTGATTCCCTGCAAAAAGGTGTGATAGTCTGATGAACAGATACACACCTATTCGGAACACTAAGCAATTTCTTTAAATCGTATGAAAAGTTCCAATGTGTTCCAAATAAACTCATAAATATTCATAACGCAGCTATGTTAATGCATCATATAAGGAGGCGGGGCCTAATTCATACAGGAAATATTATGCCACTCGTATTGTGACGACAACATGGTAAACTGATGTGCACCGAGAGCTAGACAGATCAAGTAACTTTGTAAACTCGGCTAACTCTAATGTTACCTTCAATTTTACAAAGTAGCTCAGGCAATGAACTAAATTTTTTAATGATAAAATGGAATTTCTTGAATGACTGTTATACATTCTGTTGTGTTGTTATGATTTTTTATTTATCCCTGTTTAAAAGTTGGATACTTTAATTAAAATGAAACATTTTTACTGTGTTGATTTTAACTTTTTTTCAAAATTCTTGTTTGAATCGGTATAATAAAACAGTTAAAATATATCATTGAGGGAGTCAGCAAGATTTCAGTTCCCCTCGAGCAAGCCTATTTCCCTCGGTGCAAACGCCTAGGAAATAGACTTGCTCTTGGGGAACTGGAATCTTGCCGACTCCCTCAATGATATACTTCAAATGCATAACTCTCAGATTTATCTATCACAAGAGGACCACTATATGACACGATAGAAGCAACATCGCTATACCTCCCCTGTATTGGCCGAGAACTGAAGTGCTGGACTGATATTCCAAGACTTTACATTATAGATATAAATGTATATTGGACTGGTGTTAGCATCTGCTCTAGAGTCGCGAAGTAAGGAGTTGATCCTTACGTCGAGGGTTCGAAATCCACTATGGGACGTGGAGACCGGTCCTTCGGATGAGACCGTATAAACCAAGGTCCCGTGTCGCAGTAGGTGCTGGTACGAAAAAGATCTCTCACTGCTCAATGGCCGTAAGTGCCGAGTATAGGACAAAATTTGCAGCTCTCCACCGGAAAGTGGTGGCGTCTCCATATGAGTGAAAAATTCTCGAGAGGGACGTTAAACAACATACAATCAATCAATTGGATAGGTGTTTGTCTGAACTGTTTGTTAGTTTGTACCATAATTAAACACTTACACAACCCATTGAACGTTGTTGTGTTATAAGTGGATTCGAACCCGCGACATAAGGATCAACTCCTTTCTCCGCGACTCTAGACCAGATGCTCTAACTACTGCGTCACGCGGGCGGATGATGCCTGTGGATAAAATACATAGACATTGAACATATAATTCTTTTATATTGTCATGTTTCATTTGTTGAATATTTTTTGTGAAATAAACAGTCATTATACGTGTGTTTTTCTGTTTTATTTATGTAATGAATTTATGAAAAATATCTGTTTTACATATATTTTACGCCTCTGTTTATTATGTGATTGATTCAGCCATTTTAGGCAAAACAAGTCCACAAACGATGATGAAACGATCAGCAAGAGATCTCCGGTAGAACTCAAAACTTGAAATATTACTAGATTTTCTGAAAAATAACGTCAAACACGAAGCAATCAATCCATTTCCGGTCTATTAACCGATCTCTTAAGTGTTGAAAATAAGTGTTGGAGATTTCAGCAGCTTCCATATCATTTCTGGTTTTACCGAGCCCCGCCATTATGCTGCAATTAAACCAAAACCTCAGATTTGCCACAAAATCCTCTGAAACGAAAACAAAAAAAAAAATAACTTGAGATTTCATGATAATATCTATTTCATCTATTATCGGGAAAATTGGAATAATTTGCATATAACATTATAGCAATTTATAGAACTTTTGGTAGAAATCTGGGTAAGGCGCCCAATTATAACTTCCCTAGAACACGTACTTCTTACTCCACGACCCTTGAGAAAACACTCTATCCACTGCGTACAACCCGGTATGATTCATTACATTGCGCAATATCATTATAACAAAATCACGAATGTTCACAATAACATTCTTTTGCCAGTGAATGCTAAGAAAGAAAATTTTTAAACATTTCACAAATACATCACGGCATTTGATAATTTAATGATACAATAATACAGACAGGGATAAGCGTACTTTAGGTTAAAAATTACATTGTATTTAAAATTGAAAAGCCTTGCTTAATCGCTCTTCATCTCTCTTTACAGATGATTTTGAATCTTGTGTGCGGATTTTTTTCTGGTCATAGAATTGTAGCATTATTTGTAATATCACTTCAAGTTAATGTACATGTACATTGTATCATCGATTTTTGTGAAGGTGGGTTCACAACTCAATTATTATTATTGTAAAAGAGGCATAAATTACTTTTCTGTTGACAGATCTTTTCAACATTTATGATATTTTTTTAAATGTTTCGTACAGCAAATGCACTGCATGGTCCTTGTTGAACTTCAAACATGAATGAATGAAACGTTTACTTACTATTTTTATATACCTTGGCAGGTTTTTTCCGCAGTTCTAGAAGTTGAATACCGATCTGCTGGCCAATGTCGTCAAATGGTGCCCTGAGTTCAGTCTCTGTTCTGTAGGGGTAGATTGGTATGGTGGTGTTTGACAATTCTTCCTGTTATAACAAGTTCAGACTTTTTGAATTACCTTTCTTTTTGTAAGAAATCTTAAAAGTTCTATGTCGAGTTCGTGTGCTTCACATTTCGCGACCCACTCCGTTACTAATACACGTATTTCGATTCCAGTATCAAATTCGGTTAATGAAATGACGTCCTAAAAATGAAAATAGTAAAAAAAAAAATTGAGAATTTATAACATCCAGGAATAGTGAAAGGTAGTTTCGAAGCAATTGCCTCAAAAGTAGGTCGTAAACATTTTTAGTGACTGTTCCTTTGCCGAGCGCCCGGTACCATAAGTAAAAATCACGGGTCTTTCAGATGAGACCTTAAAAACTGACGTCCCGTGTCGTTTACGCACTAGCACGATGAAGAACCCTCAATGCTCAATGGCCCTGAGTACTGAGTATAGGGTCCAACTTTGAAGCCCTTTAACGACATAGTGACCTTTCTAAGAGTAAAAAATTCTCGAAAAGGACGTTAAACAATATAAAAATTCTCGAAAAGGACGTTAAACATTATAAAAATTCTCGAAAAGGACGTTACGTTAAACAATAAACAATCAATCAATCGAAGATGTTGCGAAGGTGAGAAGGGTGGAGACACATGTACAAACAAAATCAGCAGAAGAAATCTGAAATCCCTAATTGGTGCTCTCACAACTACATGAAGGTTGTTGACAATAATATTGATATCGAAAGCAAATGGAGAAATGGCGTATATTCTGTTCATTTGCATATCGTCATATGTGAGCAATAAGGTTTATATAGAGAAAGTACAACAATTCAACTTGATATGCTATTTCTGTATAGTTCTTCCACTGGTGGTTTGGATTTCTTTAAAAAATGAGGTTTGTTGAAACTGTACCAAAGTGAAAGTGTAACTGCCTTTTTGATTTGGAAATGCGAAGAGAGGGAGTATTGTTTGATTGAAGGCATGACCAGAGAATTGATGTATTTATCATTTCTGATGATGAAATCTGTTTATTGCAAGCGAAAAACGTTTCTCTTCCAACAAATAGGCCCAAAAGACATCCTTCATATATATATATATATATATATATATATATATATATATATATATATATATATATATATATATATATAGATTACAGTTGATTTACCATTAAGTGACTTGTTACTACCGCCTTTTCATTTGAAAATGTCGATTTCTTGCCTCATCGTTACCTCGTTACTGCTAAACAATCGATGTCATGCATTGTTAATTGTAAATCACAAAATATTTACCCAAATTACTCTGACCGAGACTTGAAGGAAGAACAAAATTTACCAGTCAGGTTTAAATATCGTAATTTTTCGAGATTATGCAGGCTTTAAGGTCTATTAAATAAAAGTAAACAACGTGCAATCAATCTTATGAATAAACATAACATCATATCTCCTAAGAGGTACATGTACTTGTATCACAAGAAGAGAAAAAAGGGGTCAAATATGTATAGGAAAGCGTGTAGTGGAGGTGGAAAGCGGAACGAAGGGGAATACTTGGCACAGGTTTAAATCAAACATGAACCAGATTTTTTTATATCATAGATTATATTTAATTAACATTTATTAATAGATAGAGGATATTCAATGTTTTGTAGTTGGATATGGAATTTATTTCACGAGTGTGACAGTATTTTTTGATATTTTCACGAGTGCGAAGCACGAGTGAAAATATCAAAAAATCCTGTCTCACGAGTGAAATAAATTCCATATCCAACTACAAAACATTGAATTTTCTATTTATTACATTTTTTTTATTTTCCCGTTGCCTCTGTCTTTTCTTAACACAATGTAATGTGCTGTGACGTCATAGTTGAGCAGTTGAGATGTCATGGCTTAGCAGTTGTGAGATGAAAACATGGATTTTAGCAACATATTTGGGAAGAAATTGGCAGTTTTAGTCTCTGTCAAGATGGTTTAGTTACTATTAGGGATGTCAACGAGTACCCGGTTAACCGGGTACTCGATTGAACGTCCGAGTATCGAATACTAAAATTGCTACTCGGTTACTCGGATGTATATTATTTTTTTCATATTTCAAAGAACAAAGTATATATTTTTTTTTAAATCAAAAACTTATAAAAATGCAATTTCAAAATGAATTGTCCATGTTTCCTTGTAATTAGCGTCACCCACACCTGTTAATACCCGTTATTGTCTGTGGCCGTTTATTGTTCATTGTTTAATTAGGGTTTATTATCCTAAAATAATTTAGTTCAGTCGGTAGCGAATTCGGACATGCAAAGAAATGCCGCTACCACTTCAAAAGTGAAAAAAAAATATTAGGAAAGAACTAAAGATTTAAAAAATGTTTAGAATTAGCTGTGCAAAGTAAACATAGCGTATATGGGGAAAACAACCAACATACAATTATTAATTAAATATACTGTACGTCTAGCGATCTGGACTCTTTTTCCTTTATCTTTTGTGTTTATTTGATAAAAAAAAAATAGTGAAAAAAAATTATTTTCGTTTTCGTTTTGCTCGACGTTTGTGTACAGGCATAGAAAACGTTAAAAAAAAACATCAATGGGGTTAAACAGGGCTTAACTGGTCTCAATGAAATGAACACATTTGTATTTTACAATTTTACCGAGTACCCGGGTACTCGATCGTAAAATCGTCCAAGTAACCGATTATCAAATATTGACCGATTTGACATCCCTAGTTACTATCTTAATCTTATTACAGGCCAGAAATTATATTTTACTTACTTTGATATTCTTTCACACTGTGAGAGAATATCACTTTGGTATCCTTTCACACTGTGAGAGAATATCACTTTTATTCAATGAATAAATCACAGTATTTCACTGATGAAAATGTAATAAAATGTGATTTATTTGTGATTTTTTCCCCTCAGAACTAAACATTATACATGAGATGGCAAATAAAATACATGATTGTTTATATTAATAAGATTCAGAGCCAAAGACTTATGAGATTTTCAGAGTTATTAAATTAACTATGTTAGGGAATTTTTAAAAAATGATCTCGGAGACCCCCCCCCCCCCCTTTCTTCAAACAAATACAGTATCCTTGAAATTTTAAAAGATTTGTTAACCGTTTTCTTTGCTTGTCAAAAAAGGACTATTCCGATATGTGTTTTAGTTGTAGTAGGCCTTCAATGAGGTCTACTTGTCTAGTGCAAATGATTTCTGTTCAGATGAAAAAAAAAATCACAAATTGGCATATGAAATAATATTACCATACTCAACTTGCAAGATGTTATTTTGTTTTTTAGGCGTTTATAGAGAGATTTTAAAGACCTATGATTAAATAGACAATTTATAATGTATAGCGATTATACATGAATTACGAAGTTTTGACTTGCTTCCTATGACCTCATGTTTTGCAGTTTAGTATTAGATATTTTGAAATACATACTAGTGTATCTGTATATCATAATAAGTTCTTGAAATATTTCTACCCAATTTTGTCCTTTTATGTTAAATAAAACGTTTTGTCAAAAGGATGTGTAATTTCTTAAGACTCTTGTACATTTAATTGAGTTTATTCACATTTTCTTTAGATTTCATTGAGCAATACGTTAACTGTAACAATGTATAATTTTTTGATTACATGAAAAGGGTGAAGATTACAAACGATCTAAAGAAACCCACAAACCATACAAATCAATGCACTGGACATTAAACACGAACCCCCGGAAATTCCAGAGGTGGAATCAGGTGTCTAGGAGGAGTAAGCATCCCCAGTTGACAGCTTACACCCGCCGTGAGCCAAATGTATTGATCAGGTAGACGGAACATTCCGTAGCAAAATTTAAAAAAAAAAATAAAGTATAACAAAATCCTAGTCTAGATAAAATGCGAAGATAACGAACAATAATCATGACTTAACGGTTATCTTTGTTTTGTTTGTTTGTTTGTATGTTGTTTAACGTCCCTCTCGAGAATTTTTCACTCATATGGAGACGCCACCACTTGCCGGTGGAGAGCTGCAAATTTTGTCTTATACTCGGCACTTACGGCCATTGAGCAGTGAGGGATCTTTTTCGTGCCAGCACCTACTGCGACACGGGACCTCGGTTTATACGGTCTCATCCGAAGAACCGGTCTCCACGTCCCACAGTGGGATTCGAACCCGCGACGTAAGGATCAACTCCTTACGCCGCGATTGTAGAGCAGACGCTCTAACCACTGCGCCAGGCGGGCGACGGTAATCTTTGATAGGTCGAGGTCCAGTATCGAAACAATAAAAATTTTGACCGGAGCAAACAGGGACCGCATAAAAGACGAAAGGTGAGATCAGGTACAATGGAGGAGAAAGCATTCCCTGTCGACTGGCCACTTTAGCCGTGTGCCCTGTGTCCTGATCGGATGGAAGGGGAAATTCGTAGTCAATTCAGTATTATTAAAATAATGGTTTCACCATTTGAAGTAGAATTTCAAGCATAAAGGTATGTCTTTCACGACACTTAATTTACTTCAGACGAAGCAGCAATTCGGTATTTTACCAAAACAAGTTAAATATCGTTCTCTAAACAAGACGGTCTCAATTGCCCGCAGATATTAAAAGTATAAAATTCTCGACTAACGAAATTGTTGGACACAGCTGTTGTATTTGGCACTGATAATGAGGGATTACAGTGCGGAAATAATTCGAATGAAACATATTCACAGCCATACCTATCTTTGAAAAAATAGTACATAGTAATTGTTACCTTTGTAATGATATTTCTATCATAAAGTTGATAGAATTCATCACACAGAATTCCATACAATTCTGTAGAAATGTAGCCCACAACAACAAGAAACACAGCACCTGAAAGTTTAAAGACGGATTATATGTTAAATATTATACATTTATTGCATGATAGTGAGGGAAATATGAAGATTTGCCCGAGGGGAATATGATATTTCTTGGCTGAATAAATCTTCATGTTTCCCGAACATTCATGCAATGGATTGTTTATTATACCGAAACAAGCAAAAACTTTAAAATAGACATAAACTTTCGAATTCGGTACCGCTCTTAAAATTCACTTTCGTTTTTAACGTAAAGTTACTGAAACCCTTTGACACATCACTAATCATCAATTTTGTGACGTAAACCAGGCTATTGTGACGTCTACTACTCTCGGGAGTTTTCTTTCCACGAACGATAACTGTTGCGGGAAAATACACTAGGTATCCGAAGAGGGGGAATATGATGAAAAGCATGCCGACGACCGTGAAATATGAAGTTTTATGGCCCGATCACGTGATAATCTACAACCAATCAGATAACGCGTTGTGTAGAATAATTATAATGAGGTATAATAATGACATTTGTAATTATTTTCTTACATAAAAATTCATAAAATATTTATCAATTTATTTTAAAGTAATTGTTACAAGTCAGTCACACATGCATTTTGGGGCAGTTAATAGTTACATATCACCATTGAATAATACTGGGTTGGAAGTTATCAAGCTTTATTTGTTTTTATCCCTTGACCTACCAGTATCACTATCTCGATAAATGTTTTGATAAATTACATCTTATTTATTAAAAGTACACATATCTTAAGCTTCTTACAGTGTTTGAAAGGAAAAGCATAAATAAAAACAGAAGTAACTATAAACATTATGTAGAAGTTCCATGTTTTCAGTGTCCTTCTCTTTGTTACTAAGACTCATTAGATCATTATTGTATTTTTGGCGCAGTTATCTCTGAGCTGCAAAAATAAGTGAATATTCCTTTGATATTGCTCCTTACCGGTATACAGAATAGGTAAAAAATATGTCATCAGCAGTCAAAATGCTAATCCGTTGTAAAGATAAATTTGTACGAATAGTTATCTTTGATATTGATTTACCTTTTTTCATCTCTCTGGATCTGGAGCAAAGAAAATTTTCCCAGTCCTTGGCTGCTTTTTCTATAACTTCTTCGTTCTCTGTCTTTCCAGGCAGGTAAACTAACTCTTTATCTAGACGTATCGGCCTAAAACCAGTATGTATTTATTATTATTTTACTTCTCATTAGAAAGTGCATCCTCGTATACTGCACAGGGAACTGAATCTTTTTTTTTGTGTGTATTATTTTGTTTCAGTTGAAAACTTTTATAATGCTCTGTCGGGTTCATTTCAATCACATGTCCATATCTTGGCAGGTTGTCTCTACGTATGATTTTTGAGGAACAGCTGGTAAAATTGAAATTCTAAGGAGAAGACCTAAAAGTGATTGCAAAAAAGTGTGATTGGCAGGAAAAATACTAATTTTTGGTATTTTCGTATTTGAGGTTGATATTTAAACGCTTAACCTTGGAAGTCACATTACAAATAGGTATGTGATAAAATGGTATATTTTCACTATATGTTTAAGGAACAAAAGTTTATTGAAAACCGATTGCAATTATATTTAAATGGGACAATAGACAGTCTTTTATTGCTCTATTAAATAATAACGTACGTTGATAGCCACTGCACCATGAGTGAACAAATACCAATGTCGATACTTGATTCCGGAAGGCAGCGTCCATAAGCATTGCTAGGATTGATGAAAATTCTTATATTGGGATCATTCATTTCTTCTTTGAAAGCTAAAACAAGACGTATGTACTTAATTAGCTGGGGAAAAGTTTACATTTCAACAATTAACACTGCAGGTCAAGCATAAAATCAGAGTTTTCATCATCCAAATCAGCACATCACAAATTACTAGTAGAGCGGCTAGGTCTTTTGAATTTTTCCCCCATTAAGAAATGGATAATTTAAAATGCTTTTGAGAATAAACCTCAAATTGCAAGTAAATTTTGGAAATATTAAAAATGAAAATTGGCGGTCGAACTTGGATCTGACTTGCTTTTGTAATTTATTCAAACAAGTATTTTGCATTACAATCGTCAGATAAAATATTCACAAGCATATGACGAGACAAAGAAAACCTGTAATAGTCTTCATTAAAGCGTTGAAATCGTTGGTTGTTTGATCGTTGAAAAACACAGCAATTTCTCGAGATACGGACTCTGCTCGAATTTGTCCTGAAAAAGAAATCGATTAAACAAGAAGCCTTAGGGCCTTAACGGTTACCTGATTATAGTACAACCCTCTAAAGGATCCATGGAATTGTAAATAATATCATAATAACACAAAATAAACTCAAAACCGAGAAATCGACAAAATGATCGGTTTGATATTTAGCAATAACCTGAAAACCTGCCTGTATATGCCAGCGCTATCTTCCCTCTAATCAGTCTCACCAAATATGACAAGATAATATTGCAAAAAATGCACCAAGTTTAATACTTACACCATAATTGCCTCTCTTGGTCTTTGCATTACACACATCTTTTTTATTTTTATTCAGCAATTTTTTAAAAGTCTACGACATTTAAAAACTAAGAAATTACTTTTTAAAATTATATTTTAAAACATTTTGTATGATTCTTTTATTCAGTTACCAATCAGTTACATTTTTAAATGGATTAATTATCATAAGTGAATAACAAAGGGGAATAACTTCTTATAACAGAGTAATTATTCTCATACATGGTGATAATGGAGCAAACAATTTAGGTGCTTGATGACCAAAAGGAACGAAAATTTAATGTGTGCTGAGGAAATGGCACTTCGTTCATCAGGCGCTGAAGATTACCTCTCCTATTGTACACTTTTCGTTAGCGCTCTGCGTTTTGTCTCGGTTAATGAATTTCATCGTGTAGGGTAACCAGGATGCTCCCCCCAAAGCATACGGTATTTTTATAAATAATTCGTAAAATGCATCATTTATAATAAAGCATTTTCATACATGAGCATACCCAAAGGGCAAATATAGTCTATCCCACGGTACCAAGGACGTCATATCTCACATGATGAGATCCTAAATAATAAAACAAATGGAGGGGGGGGGGGGGGTGAGATAGGATGCAAATTTGAAAATAACTAACTTATGTTATATTATTCAATACAATGGAGAAAGGTTTTGATTTTATATTACTGGAAAATGATTTAAATATGTGAAAATGTTTGAATTAATATTACCAAATAACTTACCCGCAAGCAGAAGTGACCAATATTGCATTGAAACGTTCATCAAAATAAATGAAAGCCCATGGATTTTCACCAAACAGCAAATCCTCGGCCAATACTACATTTTTGTCAGCCATAAGTTCAACTTCACCACACCACAAAGTGCACTTGGTTATTTAATTACAACTTTTTACACCGGTGTTCACCCAAGTAAGCTAAATCAAGTTCGCCCATAGTGACTGCCAAATGCATGAAGTCTTCAGAATACAGAAAAGAACTCACCGTCTTATTAGGATTTCAACAAATGAAGCTGTTACGTTAAAAACAAATTCTTGTACCAGACCATGTCAGTAGCCGTTTCTAGAGCTATTGCGTTCAATACCCACAAGTATTTTTTTTTAAACTTTATGATAAAACCAATTAAAATATTTTTACAGATAAAGCAAAACATTTTAATGACAAAAACACACTGACTTAATTTATTTGATTTTTGAAGATTTTTTTTTTTTTGGTTATTTACTTTGAAAGGTAATTCACTGCTTTGCGTCTCATCTTGACGCTAATCGACTAGTTTAACATATTAAATCGCCGTAGACTTAGAATTTGCCGCTGTGGGAAAACACTGGTTGAACTGACAGGAAGATTGGTAAAAATGATCTATCAATGGAAGCTAGTTTGAAGGCCAAGGTATTTATATACATTTTAAGATATAATGCAAAAAGCGGGTTCCTTATTATCGTGGGACAGACTGTAAGAACATTTGTACAACTTGTTTATGAATTGAGAACCTATAGAGAACAACAAAAATAAATCCTTACCAATGAGTAATTTCAGGAATGAAGAAACAGTTCGCCCATTGAACGTCCCGAAGTCCACTATATTGAAAGCTTGATCACAATGTGCATTAAAACCTGAGAAGTTAAAGTTAAAACTTACTAAATTTTGTTCGTGAATTTTGCATCTGGTTAGAATTTCGAAACAGTTTACTTGAATTTCTCTACTTGTATCTATTTGTTTTGAATCAAGTATAATTTGTATATCAAAATTTCACAAGGTGCTACTCACTTAAAAAATTCAACACGGGTTCCAAGCACGGTTCAAGAAATTGATGAAAATGTTCCGAAAAAATAGACGTTTCATCTTGCAGTACTTTATCTTCCATCATGTATTACTCTCGATCACGTTTAAGATACAAATTCAGGACGTCGATTGTGTTAAAGGCCGAGGGGTTATCAAAATGTTCGAGGACTGTGCGATAATATTATAATTATGTACGCTTTGCTTTCAAAAAATTCTTAAGGATCGCTGTCGCCATTGAGTGTCATGACGGTCGACAATGCGATTGCTAAGTACTTATTGAAATCCGTCTTTTTTATGTCCCCTTCGAAGAAAGGAGGGCTTATTGCTTTGCTGCTGTCTGTCGGTCGGTCGGTCTGTCAGTCCACCAACAGTTTCCATTCATTTTCTTCGCAGATGTTCCACATATTAAAATGAAATTTGGTAAACAGATTTATCATTAGAATATCTAGGTCAAGTTCTGTTTTGGGTACGATCGAGCACACCCTATAATGTATGTCCAAGGGGGGGGGGGGGATAAGTGTTTTACAAACATCTCTTGTTTTTTTTTTATTAATTTAAATTTTATCCGATTAAATAATTGTTACAATGGGTTAAAAGGTATTATATGGTTGCTGAAATATTGCAGTAAGCGATTGAGGGGCTATATGAAAACCATATTTCCTCCTGTCCTTAATAATTCAGAGGTGAAAATATAATTAGGTAGATAACAGAATAAAAATAAACTGGTTCCAACGGAAAAAAAGCAGGTAACAACATTGTCTTCGTTTGTAAGGCTCATTATTTCAATTGTATTTCAGAGGAGCTAGGATTTAATTCTGGATATTTTACTAGAAAAAGACGTAAATGGTAATGTAACAACAAAGCTTTATGATAAACGTGATGACTTTAACTTTTCAATCGTCAGCTTCCCTTACTTAGGCAGCAGTATACCCTTATCACATCAAATGGGGTGTATATATCTTAGATGATTCGATACGCAGGAGCATGCTATATGTATAAACAATTTCTAAAACGAGGTAAGTTATTGACAAACAAGTTGAAACAAGAATATCAACAGTTTTGTTTAAAGTCATCGTTTCGTAGGTTCTATGGTCGATACAATGACCTTGTCAGGAAATACATCATTAAGTCACATGCTGACTGACGTTTTTCATACTAATTGTTAGGCCATTATTTACACACTGATTTGTCGACAACGTTTTCTGTTATTTACCTATAATAACAAGGGGCACACGGGGGTTATGATCGGTCGGCAGGGGATGCTCAATCCTTTATGGCACCTGATCCCATCTCTGATGTTTTGGAGGTCCGTGTTTGCTCTGCTCTGCTCCCGATTTGTATTGTTCTCATGGACTTTAAACTTGAATACTGTTCGTTATCTCCATATTTTATTCTGCACGTGCTAATCAAACTTGCTACCTGTCTAAGATGGGAATTGTCAAAATCACATATCAGTATTGAATAATTTTAATATTCCCTACAATCAAATCAATTTGAATTACCATACCAATACTGGATTTCTTAGCTACTTAAATATTCGTACAAAGATACATAGTGGGTTGGACTAAATGTTCTACCAAGCCTCTTTCTTTACTAATCACTAAAACATTAAGGAGAGGGTGTGCATAGGCCTTGCCTGTTGCCCAATCCTTATTGAATTACTCAATAAAATATGTTTAAATTAAAAAAAATTAAAACATTGACAGCAGTGATGGAGAAAAATCTGGAGTACTTTACAACAATAAATTCGAGAAGTGGTGTAAATTTGATGTGGATATATAACACAGGATAAACCCACACCATTCAGTTAACTAAATGGTCAATGAATGGCAGAGTTCTGCCTTTCAGTAGACTTTCAGTTAACTGAATGGCAGAGTTTAATCCTTTGTAAAAATTCCAAGGAACTTTTAAAATTTTACCAAAATCAATAACATCAAAACGTACGACTTTTAAACACTCTATATTAGTATTCCTATAGATAAGTTAAAAGTCCTGTCTTTTTTGAACAAAAATGGAACTCGTAAATTAACTTACCTTGTCATTGGTCATTTGCAAGATTATTTCAGTAAAAGCCATTCTTATTATAAACACAAATCCTCTTGAGTTGATATTAAAAAGATGCTTGAGTTTCTGACAATATCTAGTTTTTGGAAATCAAGTCTTCCAACAATCTGTCCAAATGCCTATGGGTACCGATTGCGCCCCCGTTATTAACAGACCTATTCTTGCATTCATATGAAGCCAAATTCATTCAAAAACTTCTACTCGAAAAGAAGAAATCTCATGCTGTGGCCTTCAATTCAACATTTAGATATATCAATGACATTTTATCAATTAACAGTATCCATTTGATTCGATATATCACTCTGAACTCGAAATAAAAGATACACAGAGTCTGACACATCTGTTTCATATTTTGATTTTTACTAGAAAAAGACATTAATGTAACTTAACAACAAAGAAATATGATAAACGTAATGAATTTCAACTTTTCTATCGTCAACTTCCCTCATTTATGTAGCAATATACTCATGTAACCAGCATATGGAGTTTACGTCTCCCAGTTGATTCTTTACGCAAGAGCATGCTCTGCGTACGAATAATTTCTAAGAAGAGGCAAGATATTGGCAAACAAGTTGATGAAAAAGGGATATCAGTCTCGTTTAAAGTCAACATTTCGCTAATTCTATGGTGGATACAATGATTTAATCAGTAATATAGTCTATCGTTCAAAACTGAATACAGTAAGGTAAAAAGTTTATTTACAAACATCAGATATTGAGTTAAATGTTATCTTTAAACCTTAGAAAGTAACACAAAACTCTTAAAACATCCCCCTTCCGACCATTCAATTTCTGCTTGCTAGTCCGCCATGTACAACAATTGCAGATCGATTTTCTACGATGCATTAGGTTTATCAATCTCTTGATCTGAGCGAAAGAAATATTCTTAGGCTTTTTTAAGTGACTGTTTTTAAGATACTGAGGTCGAATTTTCTCTAACCTGGCGTAGTGTACTAACCCTTGGACTTCCGGTCAAAGATCCGTCATTCATGCTTATGAAACGCATGAGCCTGATGAGTCGATTTGCATCTGCAACTCTCCTTTACCTTTATTTTGAGGATTTCCATCAAGAGCAATGAAAATGCGTGCTTTCAGTCATTTTGAGGAAATATTGGCATCACATCGGGAAAAGAAAGAAGGATTTTTTTTTTTTTTTTTGAATATTAGTACAATACTTTTGATTAACAGCTACATACCCTTAAAAACCCAAACTATTGTCAAATGTTTTATCAAACATGCAGTTTTTGATTTCTGTGAAAAGGGCTCAAAATCAACTTCCGGTAATGGAATGAAAATCTTTCAACCGTTAAATTACTGGTTTGGCAAAGTTGAAGATGTCCTAACTATTTAAGTACAAAGTTCTAATCTGTTTATAATTTTCCCCTTAAAATAAGGATGTTGCATTTCTTTAGTAATATTCAAAGAAGAATGAATAAAAAATCAAAGGAATAATTTACTTTTAACTAATATTTTGATTAATCGATTATTAAAAGCATAATCGATTATTTATAATCGGGGGTGGGGCATTTTGATTAGATAATCGATTTAATCGATTAATCGGTATATCACTAGTTGCTGAGAAAACTGCGACGGAAATTTCGTACGAACAGACGCAGGGATAAACAGGAAGTTGACATTAGATTCGTACAAAAATGAATCCCACCATATGGCATGCCTAAACAAAGAGTGTGCTTAAATACTAAGCATCTGTGATGATTAGTTGGTGAGAAAACTGCGACGACAATTTGTTACAGACAGACAAGGTTTAAAAACAGTATACCCCTTCTCTTTCGGAGCGGGAGTTTAATTATATTTATAATGATTTTACATGTAATTGAATATATACAATACGGAAGTTGAACAAATACTTGATACTTGGTTTTGTTACGTTTCATATATGTTTAACTCGTGTTGATTATTTTGAAAATTTATAGCCTATATATATATATTTTTCATGTAATAAATTTATGAAAAATCTGTTTACATGTTTTACTCCTGTATATATATATATATATATATATATATATATATATATATATATATAGTGTATACTGAGCAGCAATTTCAAGCAAAACAGAAAAAAAGCTTACAAGTCCAATTACAATAACAATGACAAAGAAGGATGGAAGCAATTATGGAGATATCCTTCTTTGAGAGTAGCGTAACTTGAAATATCATATTTTCTGAAATATAACGTCAAACGCAATGCAATCAACCCATTTCCAGTCCGATAACCGTTTTCTTAAGTGTTGAAAATAAGTGTTACAGATTTCAGCAGCTTCCATATCATTTCTGGTTTTACAAAGCCCCGCCATTAAGCTGCAGCACATCCATAATCTCAAACCGGCAATAATATCCTCTGAAATGGAAAAAAACCCCTGGAGTTTCATAACTATATCTCATTTATTATCAAGAAAACTGATTATTTTGCATTAAAATTTTCGTAATTTATACAGGTTTGGGGACAAATTCGCATAACGCGAATTCACTCCATTTGATGATTTAATGATACAAAGAGGGGGAAATGTACTAATTCAGGTAAAAAAGCACACAAAATTGAAAAACCTTCTTTACTTGCCTTCTCTCTTCTCAGACGATTTTGAATTTTGGGGGGTCATGTTTGTAATATCACTTCCAGTAATTATTTAATTGTTTATCAACAATTCTAGGTAGGTAGATTCACGACCCAATATTTAATGCATAATAAAAGGCATAACTTACGTTTATCATAAGCATATATGTCTTTTAAGTGTGCCTTTTAACAAGTTCACACGTCCAAGTTAAACTTTAAACAAAAGTAAATGTAACTCTACTTACTATGCTCACAGATCTTTATAGGTCTTTTCCGCAGTTCTAGAAGTTGAATGCCAATCTGCTGTCCAATGTCGTCAAACGGTGCCCTGAGTTCGGTGTCTGTTCTGTAGGGGTACGATGGTATGGTTGTGTTTGACAACTCTTCCTGTTACAATATGTTCAGAGTTTCTTTTACCTTTCTTTTACCAAAGTTTAATTATCAGAAAACGTCAAAACTTTTAAGTTGAGATCACATGTTTCACAATTTTTAGATAAGTAGTCGCGACCCATTCCGGTAAATTTATTTTGGTTCGGTGTCTAATCCAGTAAATGTTTGTTTGTTTGTATGTTGTTTAATGTCCCTCTCGAGAATTTTTCACTCATATGGAGACGCCAACTCTTGCCGTTGGAGAACTGCAAATTTTTTCCTATACTCGGCACTAAGGGCCATTGAGCAGTGAGGGATATTTTTCGTGCCAGCACCTACTGCGACACGGGACCTCGGTTTATACGGTCTCATCCGAAGGACCGGTCTCCACGTTCCACAGTGGGATTCGAACCCGCGACGTAAGGATCAACTCCTTACGCCGCGACTCTAGAGCAGACGCTCTAACCACTGCGCCACGCGGGCGACTCCAGTAAGTGTAATGACTCGCTAACTAAACGAATTCCTTATCCCAAGGCGTAGTACAGTTAGATTCATAAAAAATCATTACTGCCAGGAATTCGCTAGCATACATGTGTATATCGGCTATGTTGGAGCCAAAACGTTTTTTTCGAGAAAAAAACCAAAATTCAAACATTTTAATATTATCACTTTTTCTGATTAAGTTTTCCCACCGATGGTTTGATTTTTAGCTCTACTGGTCAGAGACTAGAAGAGCATGTGGTAAGGTATCCGTCCGCCTGTCTGTCTGTCCGTAAACAATTTTTCAAAACGCTACTCCTCCTACAGTTTTGGTCTGATTTTAATATAACTTGGCATATAAGTACACTACACTTAGATACATAATTCTGTATATCCGTTTTTGATTTCAATGAACAGTGTTGCCAGGGATACAGAAAAGATAAATTTCTGTGCAAAACTTTAAAAATGATACTCCTCCTACAGTTTTGATCCGATTTCAATATAACTTGGCGCACAGGTAGACAACACTCAGATACATAATTCTGTATATTGGTTTTTGATTTCAATGAACGGTGTTGCCATGGTTACTAAAAATAAATTTATATGAAATACTTTTAAGATCCTACTCCTCCTACAGTCAGTATAACTTGGCAGAAAAGTAGACTACACTAAGATACATTATTCTGTGTATTGGTTTTTTGATTTCGATGAACGGTGCCATGGTTACTAAAAACAGAAATACTTTCAAAATGCTACTCCTCCGACAGTTTTGGTCTGATTTTAGTTTAACTTGGCACACATGTAGACTACACTAAGATACATAATTCTCTGTATCAGTTTTTGATTTCGATGAATGGTTGTGCTATGGTTACTAAAAATAGAAATTTTCTCGAAATACTTTCAAAACACTACTCCTCCTACAGTTTTTGGTCTGATTTCAATATAACTTGGCACACAAGTAGACTATACTGAGATACATAATTGTCTTTATTGTTTTTGGTTTTGTGGAATGATGTTGCAATGGTTACTAAAATCGAAATTTCCGTAAAATTCTTTAAAAAGATTACTCCTCCTACAGTTTTAGTCTGATTATTATCTTGCCACAAAAAGAGACTAAATCAAGGATCATTATTCTGTTTATTTCTGTTGCAAAGTTTCAAGTCCAAGTGCTACTTTTCTCTTCCTTTGTTATAAGTACTAACCAGTAGAGCTACAGTCTCGACAGAGACTTCTGGTTCGTAATATATTCTACCGGAAATGAAATATTGTTGATACCAAATAGAAAGTTGAGACCGCCTTTTTTATTTGAAAATTTGAAGCGCGAGTGTATCGTTTTATTGAAGGAATTACCTGGGAATTTGCGTATTTATCATTTGTTATAATGAAATGTAAGTGTTCAAAGCAAGCTGAGTTCTTCCACCGCTTAATACGTGCAGGAGAAGGCCTATTTAAAATAAATACATATGATTTATCATTTTGTGAACAGTTACAAGTTTGGGTCATACCCTACCCCGGATTTGAGGGGAAGGGTTGGGTGGGTGTAATGTTATGAACAAACTTGAATCAACACTACCTGAGGTTGTTTCATTATTATGGCTTTGCTGTCCTCGAATAGATTTTTAAAAAAAAAATTCCAGAGTAAATTTTTGATCTCCTGTTGTGTCCAACCCCATCCCCAGGAGTCATGATTTAAATAAAATTGAATTTTAACTAAATGAGGATTCTTTCCTGCTAATATAATTAATCATGACTTTGCTGTTCTTTTAAAAGTTTTTTCGTACATAATTCTTTTTAAATCTTTTGTTAGCCTCTGAAGGCCATGATTTTCACAATTAACAATCTACAGTACCCCAGAAAACTTTCGCATAAGTTTCATCTGTTCTGGTCCTGTGGTTCTAAAGAAGAGTTTTTAAGTTTTTTCCGTATATATTTTAATGTAAAACTCTGTCTATTATGGCCCTTTTCTAATCACTCGGTCAAGATTTAAACAATATTTAAAGTCTACACTACGAGGGGTGATCAAAAAGTTCGCGAACTATCTCTATATTTATAAAACCACAATTCAGATCATAATGAAATTTGACACACATATAGTCATACACATACTCTATAAATAGCCGGTGTAATATAATGTTTTGCTCCGTGTTTGTGACCTCACAAAGTGAAAATGACGTCAATATGTAGGTGACTTGTGACAAAAAATGGTTGACTCAGTCGTACTCGAGCAACGAACGGCTGTAAAGTTTAACGTATATCTTGGAAATTCCTTTGCAGTAGAATATGATAATTATACCCCCGCTCCGAAGGAGAGGGGAGTATACTGTTTTACTCTTGTGTGTCTGTCTGTCTGTCAGTGTGTGTGTCTGTCTGTCCGTAACAAATTTTTCGTTGCAGTTTTCTCAGCAACTACTCATCGCAGGTGCTTGAAATTTTAACACACTCTTTGTTAAGGCATGCCATATGGTGGGATACATTTTTGTAGGAATCCGATGTCAACTTCCTGTTTATCCGTGCGTCTGTCCGTACCATACAAACAAATTTTCGTCACAGTTTTCTCAGCAACTACTCATCGCAGATCCTTTAAATTTTAACACACTCTTTGTTTAAGCATGTCATAAGGTGGGATTTATTTTTGTACGAATCCGCTGTCAACTTCCGTTAATCCGTGTATCTGTCTGTACCATACATAACAAATTTTCGTTACAGTATTCTCAGCAACTACTCATTGCAGATGCTTGAAATTTTAACACACTCTTTGTTTAGGCATGCCATATGGTGGGATTTATTTTTGTACGAATCCGATGTCAACTTCCTGTTTATCCGTGCGTCTGTCCGTACCATACAAACAAATTTTCGTCACAGTTTTCTAAGCTACTAATTATGGCAGATGTTTGAAATTGTAACACACTCTTTGTTTAGGCATGCCATATGGTAGGTTTATTTTTGTGCGAATCCGTGGTCAACTTCTTGTTTATCCGTGCATCTGTCTGTACCATACATAGCAAATTTTCATCGCAGTTTTCTAAGCAACTACTCATCGCAGATGCTTGAAATCTAACAAACTCTTTGTTTAGGCATGCCATATGGTGGGATTTATTTTTGTATGAATACGATGTCAACTTCCTGTTTATGCATGCTTAGAGTGTATATTCACATCAGAGCGGGGGTATTACTAGTGAGCATTGGCTCACAGACTTCTTGTTTGAAAAAGGTTTATGAAGACAAAAGACTTAACAGAAGTTCAATCATTCATTGGATTGGTTGTTTTAGTGAAGGCAGGGAAATGGTTAAAATGATGTTGTTCTGTTGCCCAGCGAAAGCAAGCCGGGGAAAAAATGTGTTCTTAGTTGAACAATTTGTTATGAAAGATCGCCAAGTTACAATTAGAAAAATAGCTGAATTTCTTAACAATAATATAATTATTAAATCCTTAAAATATTGTTTATTTTATACTTTAAACATATGGGATATGATAAAAAAAAAAAAGGTCGTCCATACTTTATCCACATTGAATAAACGACGTTCCTGCGACGGAGGACTCGGGTTTTGATGATCACCATGCTAATTCTGGGAAGGGATGTCCTTATCCACCCATCCTATTGCCGAGATTTGGCCATTTCTGACAGATGGACTGTTCTTGTTATAAAAAAATTACCTGCATGTTAAGAAATATAAGACTCGGAAAAATCTTTAAGCTTCTGTGAACAGAACGCCACGGAGCACGTCACGTGACCGCCTGGATCACGTGATTCGCGCATGGGTAGAACAATGGCAGATGTGCATTATAATCGGAGAGGACTACTTAAAAAAAAATAATGAGCACTTAAACCTCATTTTATATCTTTTAAGGAAGTAATTCAATTAGTTCGCGAATTTTTTGATCACCCCTCGTACCTCAAGAACCTTCCACACTTTTCACCTTTTCTGGCCCAAGGGTTCTTGAGAAGAAGAGTTTTTAATGACCCAAACCTTTTTGTCTTTTTCTTGATTATCTCCCCTTTCAATGCGGCTTTGTCCTTCAATTAAACAATTCAGAATTTACTTTAATCAAGGATGCTTTGTGCCAACATTGATTAAAGTTGGTCAAGTGATTCGTAAAAAAGAAGTCGAAAGTGTGAAATGTTTACAGTCAACAGACGGACACCGGTGTTCAGAAAAAAAAACATTGACAAAATTTGTGAATTTTTTAAATTAACCTAATACATACAAAATTAAATTTACCAGGTCACGTCTTTGTCTTTTTTTTAAAAAGATTTTGTGGAGAAATACGCTGACAGTAACAATATTAAATGTTATGACAACGTCAAATTCCCTAATATTCATATTCAAAAGAATACAAATTGTGATCAGAGCAAACAGAGACCTCAGAAAACATCAGAGGTTGGATCATGTGCCATGGAAGTGTAAGCATCCCCTTCGACTGGCTACACTGGCTGTGTGCATTGTCCTGATCGGGTGGACGGAGAAATCCATAGTCAATGCAGTATGAAAATAATGGCCTTGCAATTTGAAGCAGAATTTCAAGCAGGAATTTGACGGAAGTTAGCGTCTTTCACAGTGCGATAAGTCTGTAATTTACTTAAACAAAAAATTAAATATTTCTCTCTAGACAACACAGCCTACTTGTCGGCAGATGTGAAAAATAAAATCTCGCGACTATTGAAATGGAAGTTACACAACCACAATTGTTTTTAGTATTGATATCGACGGAGCACGGTATGGAAGTAAGCGGAATTATACCTCTCATCAGCCACACATGATGTCCTTTCCCGATTTTTATTTGAAAATTAATATAAGTACACGATATATATAATAGTGGACATATTTCAATTTTTCAAATAAAAAAATAAGATTTAAAACGATTACATGTATATTGTTAATAAAATTGTACAGAAGAATTGTTACCTTTGTAATGATATTCTTTTCATAAAGTTGATAAAATTCATCAGAAAGGATTCCATATAAATCTGTACAAAAGTAGGGTACAACAACAAGAAACACAGCACCTGAAATGATTAAAATTTATCGTCAAACAAATTATATTTAGAAATATAGTGCTGAAATCTTTTTTTCTTTTGATACTCTGATATTCCTGAGCAAAGTTACCTCGCCTATTTGATGTTAAACTTGAGGAGTGCATTATCGAATAATTCAATTTTCCTTACTTTCATTACTTTGAACTAATTTTTTCTGTTCATTTTCCGATGAATGTAATGTAAATTTTAGTAACCGAACTACTTTTCATTATTCATTTTGATATAATTATCGTCAGTGTTTGTCATTCCAATAAATGTACGAACGCGACTGTGTTATCAACTAATACTCTCTAAAACGTATGACAATTTTCTTTTCATGATTTAAATTCAGCTTCTGTAAATATTTTGTTTCTTTCCGTGTGCTTTAAAGGAAATATTTTAATCATATGTTTCTATTTTTAAATTATACAATAAAAATTCTTGTTGAGTAGAGAAAAGAAAAATATTCAAATAAATTATTAAGCGAGATAATTGTTGTCAACGGGTAATGCCGAGGATGGCAAGGGATATAACTCTGTAAAGAAGCACGCGTTTTGTGTCTTTTATTTATAAAGAAAGAATTTACATTGAATTTCGTACAAATGAAAATAGAAAAAAATGTTATGTAGGTTATAAAAATTAAATGATACAAGGACCTTAGACTTAGTTTTCCTGATGTGAGTTTTATTATAACATTTTCATGTACTTCGTCTGCACATCAACTTAAATATACAGGGTATTAACCATGTTAATTGTCAATCAAGTTGTACGTGTATTAAGGTGTGTCGACAAGCAAGTTTATTTCTAGATTTTTATTAACTGAAGATGTCTCTTTCTAATACTCCACTGCACTCCACTCGACGTGCTACCGTTGACCGTTTGCTTACTAACAGCAAAGCAAGTTTCTGCCTGCTTTATGTGTAATCGTTTTTAAAAATTGCACCTGCAGATTTTCATAACTTGCGTAATCGATAACTTAGTAAATCATTATAAAGACAATAAAATATAACGGGGAATTCATTATTTTTATAACATTTAAAAGAAAATTATACCCGCCTTGTGTGCTACAGGGTTTTAGATCCGCTCCAAAGAATCGTGTAATTTTCCTATCGATATATTTCTACGCAGCTGTCGGCATGTAAATTTCGTACACATTTTTTTTTTTTGAATTAGCTAAATAATAAGTATGTACATGAAAAGTAACATATTTTTCGCTGAAATTTAATTATAAGTATTGACTATATAAATTATTTTGTTCATCGAGAAATGAATCTAAAAAACCGAATTACACTTTTTTATGAATTTTTCATTAAGCGTGCGATTCGTTTTTTAGGTCACCTGAGTCACTCAGGTGACCTATTGCTATCTGTTTTCGTCCGTCGTCGTCAGTCGTCCGTCGGTCGTAAACTTTTGAACATTTTCAGCTTCTTCTCTTGAACCACTGAACCAATTTCAACAAATTTTGGCATATAGCATCAATGGGTGAAAGGGTACAAAAATTGTGAATTTCATGGTCCCTGCCCCCCTGGGGCCTGAGGGGTGGGGCTAAAACCATCACAATTAGTGCTATCTTTAAAAATCTTCTTTACTCCTGGACATCAAGCAGTCAAACTGTTTGCATGATTGTAATAAGCATTGAGCCCTCTACCAAAATTGTGAAATTCATGGCCCCAGGGTCAGGGGTTCTGGTGCTAGGGCGGGGCTAGATAGATCATATAGTGAAAGTGCATTATTTCTTTGAAAATCTTCTTCTATACTTCTTCTATACTCCTGGGTATTATTGAAACAAAGTAAATACATAGTTATGATAAGCAAGGGTGACTCTACCAAATTTGTGAAATTCATAGCCCCAGGGTCAGGGGTTCTGGGCTAGGGTGGGGCTATATAGATCATATAGTGAAAGTGCATTATTTTTTTGAAAATCTTCTTCTCTACTCCTGGGTATTATTTAAACAAATGAAATACATAGTTATGATAAGCAAGGATGCCTCTTCCAATATTGTGAAATTCATGGCCCAGGGATCAGGGGTTCTGGTGTTAGGGTGGGGCTATATAGATCCTATAGTGAAGGTGAATTATTTCTTTGAAAATCTTCTTCTCTGCCCCTGGGTATTATTTAAACAAATTAAATACATAGTTATGATAAGCAAGAGTGACTCTACCAAAATTGTGAAATTCATAGCCCCAGGGTCAGGGGTTCTGGTGCTAGGGCGGGGAGATCATATAGTGAAAGTGCATTATTTCTTTGGAAATATTCTTTTCTGCTCCTGGGTATTATTTAAACAAATTAAATACATAGTTATGATAAGCAAGAGTGACTCTACCAGAATTGTGAAATTCTTGCCCCAGGGTCAGGGGTTCTGGTGCTAGGGTGGAGCTATATAGATCATATAGTGAAAGTGCATTATTTCTTTGAAAATCTTCTTCTCTACTCCTGGGTATTATTTAAACAAATGAAATACATAGTTATGATAAGCAAGGATGCCTCTTCCAAAATTGTGAAATTCATGGCCCAGTAATCAGGGGTTCTGGTGTTAGGATGGGGCTATATAGATCCTATAGTGAAGGTGAATTACTTCTTTGAAAATCTTCTTCTCTGCCCCTGGGTATTATTTAAACAAATTAAATACATAGTTATGATAAGCAAGAGTGACTCTACCAAAATTGTGAAATTCATAGCCCCAGGGTCAAGGGTTCTGGTGAAAAAAAGGGGGGGGGCTCTGTTGATTATATAGTGAAAAAGCAAAATTTCTTTGAAAATATTCTTTTCTGTTCCTGGTTAAAAAGCAAAGAAGCTAAGTGTATAGTTATGATGAGCAAGAGTGCTTCTTCCAGAGTAGTGAATTGCATGACCCCTGGGTCAGATGTGCTGGTGTAAGGGTGGGGCTCTTGATAATATAGTGAAAATGCATTAATTCTATTAAATAGTCCTGTCTACTCTTAGTGTTAAGCAGATAAACAAAGTGATTACTTATGATGAGCAAACTTCTGGTCCCAGGGTGAGAGGATCTGGTGTTTCTTGCTGGGGAGGGAGGGGGGCTCTATTGATAATATAGTGAATCTGTAATAAAAATGCATTATTTCTTTTAAAATCTTCTATGCACCTGGGCATATCAGAGGCAAAAAGAGTAAAAGTTTTAATAAGGAAGAGTATTTTTACCAGATTTTTGAACACCTGGACCATTTGGTCAAGTGTTCTGGTCCTGGCCAGGGCTCTATTAATTTGTATTCTACTGAGAGGAGTTATTCCCCTTTGCCATTTACTTTTGATAATTAATCACTGTAAGTAATGTACTTGAAAGGTTAATGGAATAAGAGAATTATGCAAGAATGTTTATTGTATAATACATAAGGACTTTCATAGTTTTAATGATCAGATATACTTGTAAGTAATAGATAAATAAAAATGAGACAAAAATAACTTGTCTTTTTAAATGTTCATCAAAGACCAAGAGAAGCCAATGTAAGAGATTTTAACAAGGAATTAAAATAGTACAGAAGCACTGATAGTTTGCTATTTAATACACTGTATGGTGATAGTGATAAATGGGGAACAGATTAGAATCTAATTTATGAACTGTTAATGAATACTAGACTAATTATTTTGTTGATCCTAATCACCCTATTTTTCTTGCTTTTGGGCAACAAAGCTTCACCTTTCAGTTCATTTTATACTCTATGGATCCTCTAAATTGTTGTATTATACTCAGGTGACCGTTAAAGTCCTTGAGCCTCTTGTTAGATTCATTTCTTGATGAAGAAAATAATTTATATAGTCAATCCTATATTAAAATGAGTCAGGATCTTCGATTTTGAGCTTGTAAAAAATGGAATGTAGTGTTTTGTCCATTGCTTCAAAGAACTCGGAAGACACTCTGCTTCAGAATTTTAAGCACTAAGTATAGACAGTAATTAATAACCTTGATTTTCATTATCATACAGCGTAGGAATGGCAATCGAATACAACAACTGCATTACGTCCCGAGCGATAACCGTTTAATCGTATCAAATACACACAACATTGAAAATGTAGTTTTTTTTCCTCAAGTAAGGTCTATACAAATAGCTTATAAATAGCTTCTTTTTAATCAGAATATGTATGAAATTTATTTCAATTTTAAAACCATGATCATGTGCCTGTTATATGAAATATGAAGAGAAACAACATTGATTTATCTCCAACGTCAATTTAAACAATACAAATTCGGAGCAGAGCAAACCTACGGAAAGTGAATGATGACGGAACAGGGTTATACTATATACCCCAGCCATTTTATGGTGGGGGCATGAAAAGGTGGCACTGAAGTAGCTGTTTATCCAATAATTCGCACTTCACAAACTAATCAATTAGCCTTATCTTTTCAGCCCGGAGAGCCTTAATTATCACAAAATTTTCCCAATAACTTGGGTTAAAATTGAAACTTATCAACGACCAGAATTCGGGTTTTTTTCTTTTCATATTAAACTGAAATAAAATCTGAATGAATTTCAGTTAAATATACACATACATGTTTTCCCCCGACTTCCTGATTATAGAATTTGAAACCGATTACCAACTTTTCGACCGAGTAATCGGTTAATAAGTGCCATCCCTAATATATTTACATTTGTACATACATGTATTTTCTCTTAATATAAAACTATTTTATAAAATTGTGGAATATCTATCACTGTATTGAGCCAGTATAAAGTGAAAAGTATTTACTTCTGAGTGACGACATAAACTGTTGACATGATCAACGGACTCTGCTGTATATTCCTTATATTACTTGGGTACTTTACATCGCAAAATGGCTCTCAGACGTCAAACCGCGAGAATGTAATTGGCGAGTGCTTTTATTATGAAGACTTTTTAAACGTACTGAGCAATAATAGAATAAAAGCTAGTAATGTTATTTCGCGTGCCGAAATTACGCCGTGATAATATTTTTTTAAGATTATATTTAGACTGATTGTTTGTTTTACGTCCCCTTCGAGAATTTTCACGCAAATGAGACGTATACCATAGAGCGGTGAAGGGCTTCCAATTTAAACCTTTACCTGGCTTTCAGGGCCATTGAGCAGTGAGAGATCTTTATTGAGCCAACCCCTACCGTAACACGTAACCTGTTTTAAGGTCTCATTCAAAATATCCACACCTTTCATTTCTAGAGCTGGATGCTTGACAAGGAAGAGTCACTACCTGTGTTTACGTCTTAGGTTTTACACATCGCCAGGAACGAGAATCTACCTGGTATATTCCGATCACGATGCGCGTGCCACTTGGGTATCGTGACCGGCGCTTATATTTAGGAGTGTACAGTATATACCGCTGCATTTAGGATAATTATTTTGCAGTAGTTGTTGTGAATCAATCAGAAATGCATCTTGTGGTAGTTACTTTTAAATACTAATTGATGGTAATCACGTTTTTATTGTATTGATCACGTGAACTACCTGTATTAATGTTCCGATAGTTGTTTAAATAAATTACACCTTATTCCTTAATTAATAGTACACATATCTTAATGCCTTTTACAGTGTATGAATATAAACAGTCAGTAACTGTAAACATCATGCAGAAGTTCCATGTTTTCAGTGCCATTTCCTTTGTTAGTAAGACTCGTTAGATCATTATTTTAGATTTTCAATAATTGTATTTTGTTAAACACCTTTCATTCGGAGAGATTTATTATGGCGCAATTATCTCTGAACCGAAAAAAAGAATAAGTGCATTTTCCTAGAAATCGCTCCTTAGTGGCACCATGAATACAGAATAGGTGAAAAATAGATCATCAGCAGTCAAAACGCTAATCCGGTGCAAAAATATATTTGAAACTAATTATTATGTTGTGATATTGGATTACCTTTTTTCATCTCTCTGGATCTCGAGTAAAGAAAATTTTCCCAATCCTGGGCTGCTTTTTCAATAACTTCTTTGTTCTCAGTCTTTCCAGGCAGGTAAACTAACTCTTTTTCTAGACGTATCGGCCTAAAACCAGTATGGAGTTTTTTTTTCACTTCTGCAATTTCCTTTTCTGATATCAAAATTATTCAAACGCTTAACTTTGGAAGTAATATATATTACAAGTAGGTATATCCATAAAATTTATTTTTTTAAACTAAATAATTAAAGTACACAAATCTTATGAAGAGCGATTGCAGTTATTTAAATGGGCCAATAAACAGTCTTATATGACTCTATTAATAATTACATACGTGGATAGCCATTGCACCACGAGTGAGCAAATACCGACGTCAATACTCGATTCCGGAAGACAACGTCCAAAACCATCGCTAGGGTTGATGAAAGTTCGGATTAAGGGATCATTAATTTCTTCTTTGAAAACTAAAACAGCAAGTGTGTAGTTTTTTCAGCTTGAAAACAAAGTTCACATATAAATAATTTACATTGCAAGCCAATAAAACTTTTCAAATTAGAAATTTCAAATTATCACAAACTAGGGCAGCGATGTTTTGGAGATTTCTGATTTTCAGCTTAAAAAGTGGGTAATGTTGTTTAATTTTATGTACTGAAAAAGGCTACTTTAAAAACCAAATGCATTTGAACAGAAATCTCAAATATTGCAAGATAATTCTGGAGATGTTGAAAGTGAAAAATTAACGGTCAAACTTGGATATGACTAATTTTTTCTAACGTACTTAGCCAAGTATTTTGCATTACAATCATTAGATCAAATATTCACATGCATAGACTAGGAGAACCTGTTATAGCCTTTGTTAAAGCGTTGAAATCGTTGGTCTTTTGGTCGTTGAAAAACACAGAAATTTCTCGAGAAATTGACTTGGCTCGAATTTTTTCTGAAAAACAATATAGATTAAAAAAAGGGATTAAATCATTGACTAACTGAAATTTAAACTCAGTGTGCTGTTATGTTGCCTGGTCAATTTTAATTGTAGAGAGTCATCTTCAATAAAGAATTGAAATATATTTTCTTTAAAGAAGTTCCATTCTTCTACCCCATTGCAACATTTGTGATTAATCAGGATTTTATCTCCGATTAGTGCTCGCGTTTTGCGACATGTGTTTTTTAAAAGCATTTTTCTTGCTCCGTTTTGCTAAAACTTTGTAATGAAAGTTTAATAATTAAAGTTATTTGATTTTTTTTCTTCGTCCAGTTAATTGTGGTCCCTTTTTGTTGGCTATTCAAAGGTAAGGTGAGAGCATTAATATATTCACGTGGTCAACAGTATAATGGTTCCGATAAGAAGTAACACAGCGTGAAATTTTAGAATACATGTATATTCTGTTTAATTAGGTAGTGCACTGCTTTTCGGGATAATCAAATTAAGACTTTAAAGTTTAAAATTGTCATTGTATAGTCTCTCCCCCCCCCCCCCCCCCTTAATTCCGACTCAATTTCCAGAATTGTTAAAACTTGGACAAGTTAATCTTGCACTAGTGAGAGAAGGAGGTTGTCAATTGTGAATTTTATCTCTGCGTATTCTACCTAGCTGTTTCGACGGGGGGGGGGGGGGTCTTGAAAATAGACATGTTAATTAACCATCATTTTGTAGTAGGTATTAAGCCCTAGCATTTTGAAAACTTCATAATGAAGGGTTGCTTGTGATATGAAGGTCAAGGTCATTTTATTTAGAATCCAAGACATCTTAACAATTAGAGAAAGATATGTTTAGAGAGAGAGAAGTGGAGGGGTAAACTATGACATTGTCTTCTATATTCGAAAAGAAGGAAATAAAAGAGCGCCCACCAGATATAAATCATATACAACACTTCTTATTTAATAAAAACTCGTTTCTATTGCAATAGGAAAGTTTTTCGTCTCTTCTCCGTCTCCAGAGAAGTTTTATCTCTATACTTTATACGAAGTGTATTACGCCAGTGCAGTCCCCCTTAACTACATAAATGAAAATAAAATGAATAGTTTGTAGTTTTTAAGAAACGTTGGTCCTTTTTCTTCTCAATTATATCAAGACACTGTTTAATATATAAAAGCTTCATAGATGGGCCTTTACGTACCCTAGGAATATTACCGAAGAAAGAAATCCAAAAGAGAAAGAAATTGAATATTTTATAGCTTTAAAAAAATATACGTTTTTGGCCACTCGTGTCAAGAAACCGCAAATATGAATTTTTTAGGTTTTAAATAGACAACGCCACATGGAATAATATCAGAAATATGTTGCAATAAGAAGAAACATCTGATAGCATACATTGCTCACGTGACAGCAACATTTGTTAAATTATTTGTTCTTTCCATGTCTACAGCTTCATACTTTGAAAATTTAAAATATATCCGCACAACTACCTTTATTTCTGTAAAGTTTCGTAAAGATTTTCTAAGCCTTCTACGAGAACGCTCCAGGACAAAAGTAAAGTGAATCAAAAACAATAAGTCGTCCCGATTTCCTTCCGGTCATCAATTCCATTTTATACAGAAACCACTTTGATACATTGAAAGGATTAAACCAATAAAGTTTTGAAAAGTTTTCTTTGATAGTTACTAAGAAAAATTGAAACTTCTCCCTTTTTCTTGTTTCCATAGCAATGGTAGGCATTTAGAAATTTTTGAATGTTGACTGAACAAATAGAGTGTCTAACAATCATTTCTATAAATTTTCATCACAATTGTCCAAGCCACCTCGGAGAACATTTGTGCGTATATTTACCTTTTTTCTGTTTCTTTCATTCCTAAGGCAACTGTTTGCAAAAGATTCTAATTTTTTCGATAGAAATAACTTTGACAGAATGTAAGGACCGATCCTTAAAAGTTTCAAAATAATTGCCTGAGCAGTACGTGAGGAAATCGAAGTTTAACAATTTTTACTTTTCTTCTGTTTCCATGGCAACGATGGGCAATTTGAAAATTTTAAATACTATCTGCGAAACTACAATTACTGATTATCGTATCTATAAAGTATTATTACGATTGTCCAAGGGATCAGCCAGAACACTCCCGGACAAAATTCTTCACTTTTCGTATGTTTCCATGTAACGGTAGCCATGTTGAAACTGAAAATGTTCACTGCACAACTACAGCTCGTCAACACCTATTATGGGAAGTTTCAGCAAGTTTGTCACAGCATTTTACGAGGAAATACGCGGACAACGTTTTTAGGCGTGCAATAGCAATATGTCCTCCCGACTTCGTTCAGGGTGACATAATAAGAAACAGAGTAAAAGCTAGAAACCTTGTTACCATGGCAACAAGAAGGTCTTCCGTCTCTTCTCTGTCTTCGGTGAAGTTGATTCCTCACTAAACAACATGTTTATGTTGTTCATTCCCTGTAACACCTTCATACAAAAAAATAGTCACTTTGCCATGCGCTCGGCACTTTGAAGTGAAAGTTGCGGGTCCTTTGGAAGAGACCTTAAAAACCGAGAACCCGTGTCACGGCAGGCGTTGGCACGATAAAGATCACTCAGTGCTCAATGACCCTGAGTGCCGAGTAAAGGTCTAAATTTGAAGCCCTTCACCGGTATATGGTCACGTTTCTATATGAGTGCAACATTCTCGAATGGGACGTAAAACAACATACAATCAATCAATCATACATAAAATATAACTAAAAGTTTATATTTTGAAGATATTGCAAAACTGGAACGGAAAAAATACGATACTTCATTTTAAGGAAGGGGGGGGGCTATGTTCCAAAACATCTTAGTGTGAATTTTTTTTTAAAATTTGAGATCCTTACACTTAATTGTACAAAACATAAAATTAGGATAAATAAGATTTTTTTTTTTAAATTGAAGACCTATCTACACTGGTTTGATTTATTTAATTACCTGATTTCATGCATTTTAGGTTAACCCCCCCCCCCCCGACCCTCCTAAGTCAGCACTACACATACATAACAAAATGATTGACACTTTACTGATGTATTTTTTTTTCACATACTGTTTCTAGTGTACAGATTTTTACGTGTTTTATTGTGTTAATACACTCATGACTGTATACCATTAATTTATCACACTTTATGCGCTAAGTTGCTTTGAGCTCTTAATTATGACGGATCTTGCTCTAAACTAAATACCATTGAAGTTTTTTCCCTCTCATTTGAAATTGCTATTGTTATTCAATCAAGATGAGAAAATAATAAATTCTACTTTCAAAATATAATTAGACAAATCTCCAATCTGTGATTCAATTGCATAGGTACCTAGCTATACATTTACATTTACCTTATTTTGTCACATCACACACAGATGCACATAAATTCAACTGCAAACTCTCTATGAAGGAGTAAAAAGACACAGTTCCATTGTGAAGTCAAACACCATTGCTCTGACGTTGAACGACATAGCCCCCCCCCCCCCCTTCAAAGATAAAATATTACATTTGAGCCCAAACAACAGTGTGAAAAAATTCGGAATTTCTAGGGGTTGAATACGAGTCGCCCGCGTGAAAATTCAACATGCTAACCATTACGCTATCAAAGACCATCGCATCAAAGTGGCAAGTAATGAATATCTAGAGTACGGGTTAATCAATTTTAAAACAAATTACATATTCAGCATTCTAATAAGACTCTCTATTTAACCTATAAATATCTTTAAAAAATAATGAAAAAAAAGGTTAAAAAATACCCTTTTTAAATCACTTCTGTGACGACCGGAAGTGGCGACGACACACGAAAGTTTCAGGCTCCTACCTTTAACAGTTTCCGAGAACATTTACGGACTAGATTTTTAGTGGAAAAGGTGAAAAATCATAATAATTCCTGACCGGATGTAAATTTTTCCCAACTTTTTCAATATTTGAAAATGGCATGAGATAACACATCATTCCTGAAAATTTGGCTGAAAATCATTGAGCTGTTTTTGTTTTGAGATATTGCGATTTGAAAAGGTCAACATCAATAAAAATGAAAAAATAATAAGAAACAGTAGAATCACTATAAGGTCTTCCGTGAAGACGGAAGACCTTAACAATATGTTCCCAAACTTCGCTTGGGGAACATAATTACACCATCCTTGTCCTTGCGTTTTATTTCCAACAGCCTTTAGATTATATTAATGTAAACAGGGGCATAAGTGCCAAAAGACACGTAAGGCACGTGCGTAAACTTTATTTTTTTCAGAAAAAACATAGGTAATCAGAGATTTCAGAGCCTACCTCAAGGAATGCTGTCTTTAAGTAAGGCAAAGTCCCACACAAAGCTATTCTAGTAATGTGCATCTCTAGATGCAACATTTGTGCAGTTTTGGTCTGATAAGGCTTGCAGTTACTTGGGGATGGTCTTATCTAAAAGCTTTAAACTAGTCACTCATCCAGAAAATGTACGTCAGATCAAGTATCTGAAGCAAGTTTGAGAGTGTTCCTACCTTGATGCATCATCCATGCAAGATTGGTTCAGATAGACCTTAGAGTTTCTTCGTAATGTACCTGCTCCAAAAACTTTTACCTCGTCACTCATCTGGAAAATATAGGTCAGATCCAGCATCCGAAGCAATTCCAGTAGTGTGCATCCTTGGATGTATGATTCATGCAAGTTTGGTCAATATAGGGCTTATAGTTAATTGGAATTGAGACCTGCTCAAAAAATTTAACCTGGTCACTCATCTGGAAAATGTAGGTCAGATAGAGCACCTGGAGCAAGTCCAGAAGTGTGCATCCTTAGATGTATGATCTGTGCAAGTTTGGTCAATATAGGGCTTATAGTTACTTGGAAATGAGACCTGCTCCAAGAAATTTAACCTGGTCACTCATCTGGAAAATGTAGGTCAGATCCAGCATCCGGAGCAAGTCCATTTGTTTGCATCCATAGATGTATCATCCGTGCAAGTTTGGTCAACATAGGGTTTACATTTACTTGGAAATGAGATCTCCTCCAAG